TCCAAAAACAATGAACGATCAATAATAAGTGGGTAATAATGATAATGATAGGGGAATACACAACTAATCTGACACCTGTTAGACTATCTATATGTCTGATTAAGCAGACAACCAATCATTATCATACTCGCCCACACATCAGAAGCTTAGGGAGGTCTTTAAAGTTTGTGAATACTGAAGAATAGTCACAGACCTTGATCGACTTTACAGATTTCTCAGTACGTTCAGGTTTGGATACTTTAATTTTGTTCGATGGGCTGTAGATAAGAATTCTGCATTTTCGTTTACTTCTTGGACAGCTTCAGTAGTAGACTGTTCGACTGGCACATCAATTAGTCTTCTATAGCTATATTAGTGGCTACGGTGAAGTATAGGTTACCAAACAAACTGGGACAAAGCTTTATAACCTTAAAATGTGATGATTCGATAAAATCTTCGAACACAGAGAAGTAAGCTAGTGCAAAACCTCGTACAACCATTAATTCAAATGAAACCTAAAAACAAAATTAATTTATCGAAATTTAAGTTCAAGATTCATTTTTTGCATCAAAAACCGCACTGTCATTGCGTCTAGACACAGAAGTTCGATAGATACAATCCACGTCAAAATAATTCTTTCACTTCATCAATGGTGTGGTTATTTTAAGTATCCCAATAAGTTTCAACGCCTCAATGTTTGCCTGAACTTAGTTGGATGGTACCGGGAACTCTCAAGTAGTTTTCGGGTACCAATCAAACTGGCACTTCATGGACCTAGTAGCAGTCTCTGTGATTAGTATTTCACCAATCTTTTCTAGTAACACACTTATTTGGTAATATTTTAATTGCTCTGTGAAATCGCTAAAGTAGTCGTTTCACCTCCGTACCAGAAGAGGGTAACATGCGAGGTGTGACTTCAAAGTAATAAAGGAGGTCACAGCATTCATTTTCAACTGGAGTAGATTAATGATCCACAGTGGCGACGTGCAGGCATTTGTTTAATAGGAACAATCAAAATACTAGTTTACTGCACAACTTTAGTTAACTATTTCTTTATTGAAGAAGGCTATTATTAGTGTATCCAGGTGTAAATCTCAAAAAGTCAAGTTTGTTTTTTTATATACAACAATAACGTAATGTGGAGTTCGAAATCTCTGGAACTCCTGAAGAACAATCTACATAATCTAAGAACAAATCAGTTACGCACATGTCCACGCAAATAAATTAGAACACAATAAATTGTTGATGGAGGTGTGCCAGGAAGGATATGGATCTGTATTTCGATGATTAGTTATATTTCCAAGTTAAGGCAGTTACCTTATTGGTGTCACCAAACTACTGGTCAACTGATATTACCTACTAACAATTCTATATTCATATATATTGATCAGATATCTAGAACGATATATCTCATTTTATTTTCTCATGTCCTTTTTGATCGATTGTAAGTCAGTGATGGGATCGGTGTTTAAAGGATAAATAAATCTTCAGACATGGTCCAGTCTTCTTCCGAGTGTTGGACAACATGAATCTTGATTGCTTCATACAGTATAAAGAAACTGGTTATGTCCATAGTCATAATAAATTTGCTGTACCAGTATCCTGTCAAGGCATTACATAATAATCCTGTTTGAAAATCAATATATTTAAGAAGTATTCAAATATACAAAATAACTGGACACTTTACTTTCAAGCTATATAACACAATTTCTACCCGAAAACTAAATAAGACCAGAAGTATGGTATATTAGGTAGATAGATCCTCACTGAAAACAAACTAATTACTTGTTAAATAATAAGGAATGCAGTTACACCGCAATGACAGAACAGTTCAATCAGCTTAAAGGCTTAACAGATATATAGTGCTTGACAACGCTGTGGTGTTTGAATTAACTAATGATTCTTTTGTAGTTGTTGAATGCTCGATTTCGAATTCTAAATACAGTACATTCGTTGTGCCTGTGTCTTCTTAATTCAATTGCGTTAATCCTGGAATTCCTAATTCATACTATAATTAGAATACTATAATAGTTTCATCGTCACTGGTGTTCTCTTCATTACTCTTCTGGTGACTGATACTAAGTAGTGAATATATTTTTATAGTTTGCATCAAGACATTTTTTACACTACTGCGAAAATATAAGTTATTGTGTTCTCTATTTACGTACTTACAAACAAATCAGTAGTTTAAATTTAATTGAAAAATAACAGAAATTTGAGCAAAGAGTTGTTTTTGTAACTTCGTCGATACACACCACAGTTATAGGTTCATAACTATTGTGTTATTTAGCGAACGCCAGAATAATACGTGCTGACGAATAAAAAAACAACTTTAACCCAGCTATTAAATTCACCAGAGAAGATTAGTGTGATAACAATGTAGCTCTTCTTGATGTCGTGCTTTCTGGAAGAGCAGACAGTCCTATATAAAGAAATTTATTGAGAAAGAATTTATGGACTGGTTAGTATACCCATTTTCTTAGCTTTACACACATTCGGTAAAAAATAAATCTCGTCAAATTTCACAGACATAGAATCGGGTTATGATGTTCTGAGAAAAGTGTATATGAGGAAACAGATAAACTAAAAAATACATTATGAAATACGGCCATCCAGATAATTTCGTCAAAAAATATCTTCCAGAACGGGAAAATGGGACAAGTTGAGACAATATCGTCAAGAAATCTCCCTTTTTAAAGCTTGGTTTTGGAAGGGACATAGAGAGTCACATTTTAACATGTCATCTTAAAAAACCTATTAAAAGGACATTTACGCCGTCAAGCTACATGTTATCTCTACTAAACCAGTACTCACACAACCAGTTGAAGTCAGATTACTGATTATGGGCTCCTCTATATGTGTATACTAATTAAACTGCTCTTGTGAAACTAGTTACATAGGCAGTACTTAGAGGGCTATTTGATTGTGTGGTGGTGAGTACTAACCAGCATGGTTGGGGAAACGGGTCACGGAATCTATTAACATAGCCACCTTTCCCCACTTTGTAGATATCGAAAATCATATTGAAACAGATGAAGCATTTTGTGTTTCGTGTTAGGTTCTAAACAATCCACCTAGCGGAGCTACATTGTAACTCATCAATATAGCTGAAACCATTTGAATCAACTCTTGAAAACCTAACTTAAGTATTCAATAGGGGAATGTTCAGCCTCACTGTTTATCTTGATCCACGACTAGATAGTACAAACCATTTGTTAATCTTCCCCTCTGTTCCTTAAATTTTTATATCTGCCCTGCATCCTTCTTGATCAACCTTCCGAATTCACATGAATTTCTTATCATAATTACGTCATTAAAACCTCGCTTGTTATATATATATAAGTAAAGATGGATGGCAGCTAGTAGTGGAAACCAGGACTCTTGTTTCGTCCTATTTGGGACCCGTCAGCTGGATTTATTTACACCCAAAATTGATTTTCACTCCCGCAATCCGCACAGAAAGCAAATATGTCAATAACAGACTGAACGATTACAGTTCTAAACAACAATGGGAAGATACAAACAAGCAATACCAAGTGAATTCAAACTTCACTCCATTGCACGAGCAAGTGGCTATCAGGACTCAATAGTTAAGTGGACAACGTAATGATGTTTGAAGTCAACGATACTGGGCCCGAGTCGTGGAGTAGACATCAACTCTTGGATGCAGATACATTCAGCTGACGAGTCTCAAGTATGACGAAACGCGCGTCCTAGATTTAACTGTTAGCTACCACCCATTTTCGTCGTTATTATTATTATTAATGCTATTATTATCTCTAATAACGGGACAAAATTCTTCTACTATGTATTTTATTTTATTGTTATTATATTGTTTATAACTTGACACCACACAACCAATCATTCTGACCTTGCGTAAATCAAATTTCTAGCTTACAAACGACGCAATTTTGAAGTAAGTATGCCGTGACAAGTGTAAAAGTTCACCAATTTTAACATAAAACATTCACTAGCATGCCTTATTTTGGCGTTTGTAAAAATAACACAAGAATTATGAACCTCTAACTATGGAGCCTGATGATGAAGTTACTGGAAACAATTATTCGCGCAAATACTCTTTATTCTTGAATATTCTATGGGGATTTTTAAACCGAGTTAATGGTTCATTGATGAACAAGGAAGCCACGTATAGAGACATCATGCGTTCGTATATTTCACCTTGGAAATGAAATCAAAAGGAACTTTAACGCTCCTATTAACGACTAGTTTGTGTAAGGGATCCAGGATTAGAACTAACTACTTTGAAGTTTTATAGTATGGTGAATTATACATATCAAAGACTAGACAATGAATAAGTCCTGATTTGTGGACTTTGGGTAGAGAGAGGCGGTGTGTTCGATCCAGTGAGTTTAAGTGAATCGTGAATTATTGGAATAAGTATTCCTTCATTTTTAATTCTTTAAGCAAATTAGTCAGTAATTCCTCAGCTTTCATATTAACATCCTTAACGTCGTTTAGATTTTGAAATTTAGTCGCATTATTCAAAATCGAGTTAATTTTAACGATGTAATCAACTTTGTCCATTAGAACTAACCTTCCTCCTTTGTCTTGTTTGCTTGTGATCAGAATGTTATCTTTTCTACGCATATGTAAAGCATCTCGATGCTTTCTGGTAAGTGGTGATTTCACAGCATATTTACTATTTTTGTATTGTTGGCAGATTTCAGTCAATGTGGTCTTAAATCTAGTAAGTTCATTGAGTGAGATAAGGACCAAATTTGTTGTTTGTGAAAATAAATTCTCAACCTTTATATTGGTATCTAGTTGATTTATTCTATTTAATAGTCAAAAAATTCAGGGCCAAGCGACAAAGCCTTTATTACACTATATCTAATGTAACACTGGAAAAAATGTGAAAGACGTTTTCGATTTCATTTTTAAGGTGGAACATGCAAACTTAAATGGGAAGTGGATGGCTTTCTTGGTCACGAATGTACCATTAATTGAAACTATTGACTTTATGTATCAATAACCGCTTGAAAAACAGGGTTTTTTAAACTGTTTACATTTATTTATTTCATCTTTTAAACCAGGTTGTTTACAGTGGGCAAAGTTCGATCACTTTAAAACACTGTATATTCCTCGTGTCAATAATTAGAAAGTTTATATATTAGAAAGATATGTTTATCCAATGGAATCACTTTGATCGATAAGAAAACACACAAATCACTTGAAATAATGAGAATTTGTAGTTGTAAGCAAAACTAATCGAAAATATAAGCATGATACGTTTTTGAAATAATTACGATGCTCATTTTTTTTACTTGGATTAGGTGTAGAGGATGTTGTCTATAACGAAAATGAAAGGACCACAATAAAGCCAACCAACTCACAGAATCACAATTCTAAGAACACTATTATTCTATAACCCAGAATAACTTGTCTCAGTACTTCTTTTTTTTTTTTAGAAAAAAAGGATTCTTTGAAATTGTTATACTGAAAAAGACTACACAGATTACATTTGTTATTTAAAAGACAATGTTATCATTTCATTTAAACCAGAAATATTCTTTTGATTGGATTCCAAGGTTTATTATCATTTTATCGATATTCTTAAATGCGTAAAAATAAGAATATTGATAATAAATGCGGTCGAATTCTTTGAAATTTCAGATTATTTCACTAAGTTCGTTCTTCCAGCTGTTTAAATATCACTTTTTATTTGGATTATGGAGTTTTATTGCGTTATCAAAATGGATTTTCGAGGATTATATTCACTATGAATTTTTTCTAAATGATTATGCTAAATAATCTTGTTATTTGGTAGACATTACTATTGTTGTCAGTGTTAGTGTTCAGGCGGTTGTTGTTGTTGTTGTATAGTTTTCATTTGATATGAATGATAATAATGTTGATCAGAATGTCGATGAAAAGTATAATGTTTACTTGGTTTTATTAATTTAAATGTATGATTTTTATTTGGTGGATGTGAATACCATTTATTTTCTCTTTCAACATTTGGACACATTGATGAACGTAAATAATATTTAAAACGATGAATAAGTCGATAAAATCCTTTACGAAATTGACGTCCAGTCATATAAATAAAAAATGTTAAACCATTATTAATAAAGAATAAAAAACGACATAATTCTTCCACCATATGTTCAGGACGATAATTTTCAGCTTTTGTAAGATCTACTACGTTGAACTGAAATAGAAACAAAATAATGACATAATGAATGTAATAGTATAGGGAAACTTCAATTTATAATTGTTCAGTAAAAGACTAAATGAATAAATTACTATCTTCAAGTAGAATGCTTGTTTGTATTAGTTTGTTCCAAATGTGATGTCTACAAATAACGACCTAGAAAAAAAGTAAATAAAAGCTAAGTATTATTATTAGATGCTGTCTATTATTATTTTGGCAGCAAAATCCGACCTAAAGCCTCTTTATGGTGCATACTGTGCGTATGCCTCGATATTACCTTAATTCACTAGCTATTTGTAAGCAATGATGAATAGTGGCTAGCAGCGGAATGGTACTGGGTTTGAGTCCCAGAGTGAACATCAACTCTGAGATACAGATACATCCAGCTGACGAGTCCCAAATAGGATGAAACACGCGTTATGGATTCCACTGCTAGCCACTATCCTTCATTGCTTATTTAGTGATTTCTTGTAAATAGTAGGTTGGTTACATGTATATATAAATTGGTATTTTCACTTAACAGAAATCATGAACTAAGTGTTATCGTTTAATATTCCTCGGTTCAGTAAGAAGATAAATTCATATTTATTATTCATTCGTGCATTAGTATTGAAAATTCGTTCGCTTGTAAAAGGCTACTTATTCGATAATTAATTAATACTGATTGCAAAAGAAAAAACTGTTCTCTAATTACTGATCAAAAACGTGAAACACTGTACTAAATTTACAGTGGTGATGTCGCAAACATAATCAACAGGAGACTGAATAATGCGCTATCCAGAACTTATCCGGCGGCCAAACCTGTAATTCTCTATAAAACAACATGTTCAATAACCCAATCAATAGTTGACAAGCACTCCTTTCATGTTACCACCAACGGTATTCATAAATTTACGTGTACGTAGCAAAGCAGCTACATTAGCCGGACACAAAGGAGGGCATGTTTTAGATTTTTTGAACATGTTACAAAAAGCCTCATAACAAGAAAAAGAAAGAATCTAAATAGTGAAATCACCAAATATTTCCTTGATATAGGACATCACCTTGCAATCTTTCAAGGTGATTAGTAAGCAGTCAAACTCCTGTCTTCTGAAGTTTCCTGAAGCCGTTGCTATCAAAAACTTGACTTATGTATTCAAAAGGAGATGGTTAAGAATCTTTCCTTGCCTTGGTGACAAATATTCCTTTTCTGCATCTCAAATTTTTAAATTATTTTTCTTCAAACTTTTTCTTACATTTATTATATCACTGACTTTTATTTCAACTATCTTCCAGATTAACAATCTTATTTTATCAATTGAGGTCTATTCACTATATTCCTAGTGATGTTTTAATCACTATGTAATCACTTGTTCCTGGCCCTTTGATCTGTAGTCACAATCAATGTTGTAGAATGTTCTTTCTTATAAGGTATATATTTACGATGTTCATTTTGTTAATTTTATTTACACCCTTGCTATACTAAACTGATATGTTTTCAATATAACTTCCAACCAAACCCTTTCATGTAAGTAATTTACACCCATTATGTAATTATAATTTTAAATACCACAGGTTATAAGCAGCAGATGAGAACCTACGAAATAAAATGAATTCATACTATTCTGCCAGAATCTTTGTTCTTGCTCTTTTCAATATGAATAACGTTTTCTCTCAATTCTTCCATTGCTACCCGTAGTTTTTTCTAAGATTTTCTAGCAATCAACACCTTAAAATTAATTTTAAAATAGACAGACATCATCTTCCATTGTGAAACATTTGATTGAGATTGGTCATAAGGTTGATATCAAGTCAGCATTTATAGTGTTATACAAAGGCCTTTAAGGACGTATACTAAGGTTTATTGAAGCCTTGGCTATACGGAAATTGAAACCTTCTTTATGCATTCAAAAACCATTTGTCCTTATACTTAACCTACCCTAGTAATACTGATTTATTATCCAGAGTGGTAATCACATTGTTTTTGTGTACTTTAATAATATTAATATTATTATTTGTTACGGCTTACCTGTCTAGTTGACCTTTTAATTTTCATATAAAAATATCTTAACAAGTATATGTGTGGTCAGATTGTTCGAAGTGTATTGCACAATTATATCACATAAGTCTGATAAACTTCGTCTTCTCACCTTCTTTGTATATATCTTATATGTATATCATTTATTTAGTACAAGTTAATTTACTTGTATTTCAGTTACAGCTTTTTTGAGGTCAAGTGATTCTATCAAATTAGGTAGGTAATGTATAAACCTGAAACTTATTGATTGTAAGTTGAGTACTTTGAGTACTTAGCTATTATTATACGAATTCTTTAAATGAATCAAATCATAATTAATGTGTGAACAGTGATCCATTATGATACAAGTTGTTCAAATACAGAAAAATAATTTCTAACAACTGAGGATAGGTTGAAATGAATTATGAAGCAAAACACATTGGCTATATAAGTGTCATTATGTTTCTGCGTGATTTTCCCTACTCATACAATCTTTGTTTTTTTTTAAAAACATTTATCTCCCCAACATTATTGGATATAAATTCATACATTTACCTGTTAAACATGTTTACATTTCAATGTGATTTAGAGAAGAACTATCACGAACAGTACATAATTCATTTCGTCATAAATAGCGGATTTATACATTCAGATTGATATATTTAGAAAAAGTTAACAGGATATTTTTCGTAATCAGTAATTTTTTAACCTGAATACCTTTATTTTTCATTTCTTGTTAAACTATTAGCTGATAATCCTTATTAGCATTCATAAGTTGTTTTTTTTTCTGGATAAAAAGATCCAAAAACAATGTGCAAATTTAGATACTTCTTTAAATGGCTTTATTCAATTTTATATTTTTGGTACAATATTGAATTCTCAGTATAAAGTATTTCAACAAGTTTCCTTTATCGAACCTGACAATAAATATTAAGTGATCACCAGTTACATGTTAGTAGTTCAAGAATCGACATCTGAATGATGTTCATTTTTTTCAATAAATACTGTCAGCCATCATGATGTTTCTGATTGTATCTATTTGTAGATTGTATCATACTTTACTAGCAATTCTACTCAATAATTTAATCAAGCTACTTAAAGTTGTTAAAATCTCCAAAAGTGATGTGTATTATGAGTATGGTGGAATGATAAATATCACTATAAATGTGCTACATGATTTTTCTTCAATCTATCAATAAGGTCAACTATGGAGCGTAATTCTTCAACTGACATACGATTTGTAAACCAGTCCCTAGTTAAAGTAGGTTATTAATATTTCCTATTAGAATTTAATTTGAACCGTGCAAGTAGCATTCAGTATTTCAAGCTTTACGTATTTATTTATGTATGTATGTTGACGATGATGTAATGTATAGTAAATATTGATTTTACCTGACGACTAACTTCAATAATAAACCTTCGAAATTTCTATTTTCACAACAATGAGTATACTGAGAAAAACTGTGTTAAATAAAGTTTTAATTTTTATTAGGATATTTTATTCTATACCGAAAAATCAATAGAAGAATTGTCATATTTAAAACGTAAGTTGATGATCTTAAATAACCGATCTGAATGCTTAAAATAGAACAAGATTGTATGATTTTCATCATCGTTGTTGCTGTGATAAAAGCCGTGTTACTCAACTCCTGAAACCTTTAAGCATAGTCACTGTAATATATCAATGTTCTACTTATCAACTAACTATATATACAATCTAGATTGAAAATCATATCAAAACTCATTAGAATCATTCCACATGTATATAATACCGTTTAATTTAATAACATAACTACGCAACTAATTTCTTATGGTCATCTGTTAATTTCGTTAGATTTTTGCCAACAATTTGTTCAATAAAACTTTAAATAGATATATTTTAACATAATTCACATAAACTAACTCTAAATATGTCCTACTTAGAATTAGAAATTCTATAACTAGATTTGTGTAAAGCTAAAGATTTATTTCACTGATACAATCGCTTCTCCTTAAAATCTGATTTCTTCTACTGACATTAGATAACTATAAAAATATTTATAATAAATTTCTATGTTTACACATATACTTGTATGTGCGTAAGAAAATGTGAGTACAATCTGATGGATCGGTATAATGAAAGTAACGGTTTACAAAAAGGTTCAGTATATTATTACTTACATACAAAAATGTTCATAACCAGATATCCATATACAGTTGTGAATACCAGATATATATTGAGAACAAATACAGTAATTTTTGTGGTCATTTAATTACTTATATAAACTTCAATCACACACTGATGTTAGGAAATGGACTACTAATAATAAACAATTCACTGAAATCTTATTTACTCTAGCTTAGACTACATGTGCTTAGTTCATCAGCGAACGTGGAATTTAGTTCAAAAATTTCAGATCTCATGATGACCCTTATTATGAAATTTAGTCCATTTGTCACAAATTAGGCTGTTAATTAACCTTATCAAAAAGTTGTTGTTTCATTCATCATTTCATTACTTCCTCAGCGGATACCATCCAAGCATGTATTTATCCATATACGATAAACTTTAACATTTTGGATATGAGTTACCGAGTTTCTTTCTGCTTACTTTATATTTTTAAGTAGTATATATGTTATCATTTGAAGGAGAATTGAAAATATAAATTATTCTGAATTCTTCAAATGATGTATTGAACACATTCACTCACATGACGTTGAACTCTGTACCTCAGAGATAAATATATTAATCTGTATTGTGATTAAATTTTGATTAATTCCCAGTTTAATGAGTATATAAACATATAAATTTATCTATACTTTTGGCCAACTGTTATCTTTCTTTCCAATTCAACAATTTTTTTATTGTCAGATTCATATGATTATGGAATAAAAAAAGTTTAAACAAGCATGAGTAAACATTGAAAACACACAACCATCTGGTATAACAATATGAAATTGAATAACGAAAGAAGTTTATTCATATACAAGAGATATAATTTAATAAATTTATAATTGTCAT